GAAGCAGCGAACCAGGCATCAAGTCTTGGAGACCCAGGAAAGAGGAAGGAAAGGCAGAAAGGACAAACTGTCACAGCATCCACAGGCCAAGCTCCCAGACCAGGGGTGAGCAATTATTTCGGGTGGAGGGCCACTTCCTGAGTTTTGGCAAGCCATCGAGGGCCACGACAGGCAGCCAGGGGCAGATAAATATTAATTTTCTAATTTTTTTTAGGGGCCCTGCAGGCCGGATAGAATGGCCTGGTGGGCCACATCTGGCCCCTGGGCTGCATTTTGCCCACCCCTGGCCCAGACCCTTCCCACTGCCCTGAGTACTCAAGACCCCCCAAGCTGGCTTCTTATTCAGTGTATTGCCCCTGCCTAGGCAGCCCAGGTGTCTGTGCCCACCTCCAGCTGTCACTCTTGCCTCCCTCTTCCCTGAGCACCCAGTCTGCTCCCACACATGCCAAGACATTGCAGTTAAGAGGCAGCATTCAACACATTTACTAAGAGGTCAGGTTATGGATTTGTACAGGATGGTTTGGATGGAGCCGATCCAGCCTCAGGCAGGGGCTTGGACTAGGTGACCTCTCTCTGGAAGTCCCTTCCAGCCCAACGCCTCTATGATTTCTATGATTTACGTCTGTAATAGGGTGTCACCAAACCAGTCACATCCTCCACTGCTTAGTGTAGTGGAAACTGCTGTCCAGCCTCTGCTCTGTGCACTGGGAATTGGGTTCCTATAGGGCATAGGCTAAGCCAGGGGTGGGAGATCGGGCGCTGCAGTTGCTACTGGAGCGCCGTCTGGGGCTCTGTGCCTCTCAAGCAACAGTGATGCTCTAATGCTTCCCTGCTCTCTTCCGCAGATGGGATCCACAGCGTGACAGCCCAGTGCGTCCTGCGTGTCATCATCATCACAGAGGACATGCTGGCCAACAGCATCACGGTGCGCCTGGAGAACATGTGGCAGGAGCGCTTCCTGTCCCCGCTGCTCACCAGCTTCCTGGAGGGGGTGGCCACCGTGCTGGCCACGCCCAAGGAGGACGTCTTCATCTTCAACATCCAGAATGACACGGACGTGGGGGGGGCTGTGCTCAATGTCAGCTTCTCGGCGCTGGCGCCCCGCGGCCGGCACTTCTTCAGCTCCGAGGAGCTGCAGGAGCAGCTGTACATGAAGCGCATGGCACTGACAGCGGCCTCCATGCTGGAGGTGCTGCCCTTTGATGACAATGTCTGTCTGCGGGAGCCCTGCCAGAACTACATGAAGTGCATCTCCGTGCTCAAGTTCGACAGCTCGGCCCCCTTCATTGCCTCCCCATCCACCCTCTTCCGGCCCATCCACCCCATCACAGGCCTGCGCTGCCGCTGCCCGCAGGGCTTCACCGGGGACTACTGTGAAACTGAGATCAACCTGTGCTACTCCAACCCCTGCCGCAACGGTGGTGTCTGTACCCGCAAGGAGGGCGGCTACACCTGCATCTGCCGCCAGCACTTCACAGGTGAGGGCCAGTGCCCAGCAGGCAGGAGTGGCTCCTGTAGGTGTCCATGCTACATGGTCAGGCCTGGTGGTGGGTGGGGGAAGAGCTGGAGAAAGGCATCTCTGTTTTCCTGGGATAAATAGGCCACTGGGTTTGTGCTGTTACCTTTCCAGCAATAGCAGGGCCAGTTGGTTGCCTGTAAAGGAGCCAGAGTTGGAGGGGAAGCAGGGCATGGGGGCAGGGTACCCTCATTAGACCATCACAGCAGCACATCAGATTCCCATTGGGAACAGCCCCAGACCACAGACTGGCTGGATTGGGGTAAATCTTAGTCCCTCCTGAAACTGTTCTGCCAGGCCCTGTCTGCCCTTCCCATGCTGGCAGGAGCCCCAGACCCTCTCCATGCTGTTCTGGGACAGCTTCAGCCCCATGGAGACCCAGTGGGATAGCTCAGTACTGGTGTAAGGCCAGCCTGGGGGGAGGGTGTGGGGGCCAAGCCGTCTCTGACTACAGGTGTCTTCCTCCCATGCTGGGCAGAGCCTGGTGCTGGGCAGAGCCGCTCCTCGTCTGCCAGGCAGCTGAGCTCTCTGCTCAGGCCCCTGGTGGTGGTGCCAGCCCTGGGTAGGCTGGCTCAGCCACAGACTGTCTCCAGCGCTGCATGGTGCCGGGGTTGGGGGGGGGGGGCTAATTACGTCAGATAGAGCTGATTAGCAATCCCTCAAATTAATTATTTTTCTGTGCCCTTACACTGCTGCTGGTTGAGGGGTAGCCTGCCTGGAGCAGCACTGCGTTGTTGGAGGGCTGATAGGGCTGCCATGGTGAAGGAGCCTGTATTTCCCTGGTGTGAAGGGAGTAGTCGGGGGGGATGCTGTCACAGATTTGTGTATCCTGGGGGCTTCGTTGTGTAAATGCTGCCTCACCCACCCCCTTCAGCTGGAGGCGGCAGGTGCAGGCTCCCAGCAGCTGCCAGTTGGATGGACCTTTGCAGCAAGGCTGGGATTCTCTGAGGGCTGCAAAGTGCCAGCACCCCTGGGAGGGGCACCTGCCCCTTGTCCCCCTCACGTCTCTCTCAACCCAGTGCCTTCCCCGTGGTGGGGAATGTGAGTGGAGTGGGGAGTGGTGGAGGCAATGGCTCCTACCAGCATCGCTCTCTCTGGTCTGTCTGGCTGCAGATGTTCTGGGCAGGCCCGCTGCCCTGGTCCCATCTGACACAGCCCCCTCCCATGGCCCCTGGGTCAGGCCCCTTCCCTCCATGGCTGCCTCTGGCCCCGGGATCCTGGCCAGTCGGGGAGTCAACATCCGCTCAGGACCTCTGTCCTCTGCCACAGCTGCAGCTTCAGGTTGCACCAAGAGCAGCAGGGACATTTCTGGTGGAGCCTCTGGGCTGCGACAGTCCCAGGGCTGCTGGCAGAGGGCCAGATCTGTCATCCCACATGAGGGACCAGGCCCCAGCGAGGCTCCCCAGAGCTGTTTAGGTCATGAGGGTTGGGCAGAGTCCCACAGAGCACCAGCATGCAGGTCACTGAGGGGCCAGGTGGGGGGCGAGGGAAGGGGGAAAAGGAAGGCTGGGAGGTGGGGTCATGGTGGCTTCTCCCTGCTGCCAGAGGTACTGGGCACTGCTGAGCCAAGCTGCCAGCATCCCCTTCACTTGGCAGGGACTAGAGAGGATGGATCCCACCAGCCATCACGGAGGGAAGGGATGAGACCAAGACCCTTATCTGGGTGCAGACGCAGCTAGGTCTGTGCTGCAGGGCCAACCCGGGGACTGGGGACAGCTCCAGCCTCAAAGGGACTGAGGAGCACTGGACTAGCTGGGAGGTTAGAATCAGGTGGGAGGATATTGCCAGGGAACTGGGGCAGAAGCAGGTGCTGGGGGCTGGAGCGTGGGACCCAGCTGAGTTTAGGGGAGGGCTGTGAGGCCTGGACTAAGGGAGACATGGGATTGTGATAAAGGCCTGGTGGTTTTGCAAGCTGAGGGTGGCAGGGCCCAACAAATGGAGATGTTCCTCTGGGTGGCTTTGTGCCGCTCCCCCAGCTATGCACCAGCTTCATGGAGCGGCAGCACCAGAGCCCAGGCTGCAGGCGGAGACAGCGGCAGGCGGCAGGTCCCTTGGCTGGCTCCCAGGCCTGTCTGTCGTGTCTCCCGGGGTGGGTGGGAGTGCGGTGGGGGAGGGGGCGGCAGCTGGCAGGGTTGGAGCAGCGCAGGCTTGCTGACTGGTGAGATAAGCAGAGTCAGTGGTAATTAACCCCTGGGTTTGAAGCATGAACAGGCATTAGCCCAGGGGTTAATGAGCTCATTTTCCTGTCACTTCCTGCTGCTTCCCATCCCCCTTTCCCCGTGCACCCACTGTCAGGCAGGGCCCAGGACTTGGAAGCCAGGACTGGGTGGAGCCTGTGAGCCCCAGGGAGGCGCAGTGGGACGAGGCTGCTCCCCCGCGGGTCGGCTAGTGCCAGCTAGCATGGTGCTTAAGTGCCCTGGAGACCTCCTCTTCAGCCCCCCCTCCCAGCCCAGCTCTTGGCACTGCTGCTGGCTGCTCCTGGGCCCTCAGGGCTGGCTGTAATGGGCCAGCTGAGCTTTGCCGTGCTGTGGGGAGGGGTGGTTTCAGCCACACAAATTCCCCTGCCTGTGTGTGCATGGGGGACAGATTCCTCCAGAGTGAAGACATGCCCCAGACTCACTGCCTGGCCCCCCTTCGGTGCCCGCATTCCCTGGGACTCTGCTGCTCCCCATCCCTCACCTCTGCAGCCCCCACAGAGAAGCCTGAACTCACCCCTCCGACACAGGGGGCTGCCCCCCATGCCATGCTCCCCTTGGGGCAACCGTGGCCCTCAGCTCATGAGCTAGGCCTTGGCGTCACAGCTGCTAAATAGCTGTGAAGCTGTAGCCTGGTGCCTGCCCCAGGGTGGTGCTGGTATTGGGCTGGCTGGGGGTCCCCCCTGCACTGGTTCCCTTGGATGCCTGGTGGACAGATTGGCTGTGGCTTCAGGAGGGGTCCTGTGTGGCCTCTTGTTTCTGTGCTCCTGGGAAGGGGGTGGCTGCACGGCATATCACAGGTGGGAGCCTCCTGCTCAGTCCAGACCTTACTGGCTTGTGCAGATCTGTGTCTCCTGGGGAGCCGGGGCAGTGGGTCCTAGGCTGGATTCCAACTCCCCACCATTGTGCCCCTCCAAGTCTTGGGGCTGGAGTCGCAGGGAGACAGGGTGGGAAGACATCACTGATTCCCTCAAGGAGGCAGCGCGCAGGGCACTGTGGTTTCAGAGACGATGAGAAATGGCTGTTTCCAGGGAGGGAGAGAAGCTCTGTGAGCATGGCTACTTGTGCCAGAGCAGAGGCTGGGGTGGGGAGGAGAGACCTGGGTATGGGAACCCCATCCTGGGGAGGTGGTGACGAGGCTCCTTGGTGACCACATGGCAGCTGTGGGAGCTGGGACGAATGGGACCAGGATGGGGGGGGCTGGGTCAAGTCCTGTGTTCTGGCCGTGCACCAGGGAGGGCTGAAGGAAAGGGCTGGGGCAGGATGCAGGGCCTGGTACTCCCACACATTGGGTAGGGTGTTGGGAATGGCCCCTGACTGAACAGAGATGCAGGCTGGCTCCAGGGCTCTGGGTGTGAGAGATGGATGGGGCTTCTGGTTCTGGTGAGGCCCCAGCTCAGGGAGTGAGGGCCAGGGTCTGTTATCAGGACGGTCACAGTGACAGCCTGGTCAGTGCTTGGGGGCTGCGGTGATGTGAGCTGGATGGTGTCAGCTGCTTTCCAGCCACAGATGCTGTCACCACAACACCAGTACCCATCAGCCCTGCCCAGGGACCTCGGACCAGAGGCCGTTTGACCTCGGGCTGCAGCACCGTAATAGAGCAGCACATGAGGGGATCCTGTCCTGCCTCTGCCTGGGCCAGACCCGCCCTCAGTGATGGGGGCTGCCCAGCCCATGCCTTTCAGTGGCACTATATGCATTTCCCTGAGCTGCCCTGGGAGATGTGCCAGGAGAAGAGCTCACAAGGTGGGTGGCGGGTGGGAGGGAGTGTTGCTGCCCTTCCCTCCCTTGGGCTGCTCATCCAGGTGCCTCTCTGGAAACCCCAGCAGTCTCTGCCCTACAGTGGGGATGGCCATTCTGCACTGAAGCCATGGGCCATGTGGAGATGGCGCTGTGGTCTTTGTAGAGCTGGCAAGGTGAGGATCTAGTGATGGGCAGCCTGCCCCGTGTTCCCCACCCTGGCTCCCCAGACAGCTCTGCTGTTGCTGGTTGAGCCCAGCCCACAGGTCCTGCCCTGGTCCCTGCCAGCTCCAGCCTGCTGTGCTCAGGTTGACCCAGCCAGGCCAAGCGAGCTGCCCTTGTTACAACTATGCCTGCGGAGCCTCCAGCATGGGGAGCGGGAGCCTCATTAGCTGCAGAGGCATTCCCAGTCCTGCCAGAAAGCCCCACGTGCACTGGGGAGGGCAGCAGGGAAGAGCCGTTGTGGAACTGGTATTTCCTACGTCAGGGGCCACGGCGCAGAGTTCAGCTTGGGTGAAGTCTGTCTCCGGTCAAGTTCCAGCCAGGCCTTGACTTGCAGGTGGCACCGCCCAGCGGCCGCTCCAGCAAACACAGTGGTGCATTCGGCACAGGCCTGCTGGGGGAGTCCAAGATGGAAAAGGTCTATCGGGTCCTCCGGCCAGTTTCCCCCAGACCAGGGCAAATCACTGCCCCCAGCCAGGTGCCCAAACCACATGGGTCCCTGCTGAAGGTAGTGGGTGGAGTTTGCAGCCCAGGCATCTCTTCTGTACTGAGCCTGCCCTCAGGCAGATGGTAGCTGAGCTAGTCCCTGTCTCTTGGGTAAGCAGCCAGGCAGTGTCTGCCCTGCCTTGGCTGCATGCTGTATTCTCTGTGGATAGCAAAGGCTTTAACCCCTGCTCCACCCCTTTGCAATCCCTTGCAGGAGGGCTAACAGGTGCCTATGATCCACTGCAGACCCAGCAGCCTAGGATGTGGAAATGGGGCTGGGTTTTGGGAACTGGCTGCGGGGGCTGTGCTTCCCTGTCCATGTGCACAACTGGGTTCCCACAGTGACCAGAAAGGGAGACCTAAGGCAGGAGCCCTGGTCTGGGAGGGCAGAGCTGGCAGCTCCCCACTGAAAGGCATGTCCTGAGCCCCTCGTTCTGCTCTTCTCACCCCTGCAGGTGACAACTGCGAAGTGGACAGTCGCTCAGGGCACTGCATCCCAGGTGTGTGCCGCAACGGAGGCACCTGCACCAACTCTGCTGATGGCGGCTTCCAGTGCCAGTGCCCTTCGGGGGGCTTCGAGAAGCCCTACTGCGAGGTGACCACCCGCGCCTTCACACCCAAGTCTTTCGTCATGTTCCGGGGGCTGCGCCAGAGGTTCCACCTCACCCTGTCCCTCTCGTAAGTCCCATGGGGTCTCTGCCTGGCAGTGCTGTGCTGGGAGGAGTGGGAAAGTTAGCAGAGCTGCTGACCTGGGGCCTCACCAGTGCACGCACCTGAGCACAGGTGCACCCAGCCCTGTCCAAGCACCAGGCACACTGGGGTCAGCTCAGGCCAAGCTTCTTGTGATGTACCCAGGACTACCCACATGCTGGCCACCCCGCTGCCAAGGGCTCCCCAAGTACCGAGGGCCACTCCTGCCATGAGCTGCTGAAGGTCCTGGAGCCCACCCAGGCAAAGGCCCCACTGAAGTGCTGCAGTTCTGTTGGGGACAGGGACTCTGACAGTCCACCCGCAGCTCCCTGCACTCTGTGCATCCTTTGCTTCTGCAGTTCCACCTGCAGGTGTTGCTGGTGCTCCAGGCCTGCCCCGCTCCTGGAGGTGCTCTGGGAGTTAGGGCCATGCCCCCCACCCCATGGGAATGCTGAGCCCCTCTGAGCAGGGACTGCATCCCCCTAGGAACCAGCACAAGCGCTGCCAGCCTTGGCATCCAGTTCCTCCTGTGCAGCGTTTTTATGGGGACGACACTGGCCTCTAGTGGCTGCTTCCTGCAAAGCACAGATGGAAGGTCCTGTCCCCGGGGAGCTCTTGCCAGACCCAGACTTCTGCTCAGGGTTGGAGGGGACTGGAGAGGACAGGGCCCTGAGGGGGACCTGGCCCCCGGCACTTGGATGATGTGTCCCCTGCTCCACGTGCCAGGTTTGCCACCCAGGAGCGCAGCGGCCTCCTGCTCTACAATGGGCGCCTGAATGAGAAGCATGACTTCCTGGCGGTGGAGATCATCGATGGGCAGGTGCAGCTGAAATACTCCACAGGTGCGTGCAGCCTGCTGCCGGGGCCTCTTCACGTGTCTGCCTGCCTGTGAGAGGCAGGGCATGTGCCTGTCCAGCACAGAATGGCAGGAGGGTGCGTGGGTGGCAAGTGCACAGTTGTGTCGTGGCTATCAGTGTTGGTTGGAGCAGGGTGTGCAGAGGCGTAGGAGTGTGCGCATATGCATAGGACTCTGTGTAAGTGGGAGTGTGACTGGGGGTGTGACCCTGTATGTATGTGTGTGTGTGTGTGTGTGTGTACACATATGCTCAGATCCATAGGTGCACTGAAGCTAAAAATCACGTAATTTCTGGCTTGATCAAATCCCAGGGGAACATTAAAGCCCCTTTTTACTGCTGTTGCTTTCAGACTGAAGGACTCAGCTCTCAGCTTCATCGCGTGAAGGCAGGGAGCCAGCTCTGTCTTGGAGCTTATGTCCAGCTGATAACATATAAAATGCAAGCTCTTTTTCCTGGGAGATGCCAGCCTGCTGCACTGTGTGCCAGAGCAACCCCTCCCCCCTGGGGCCTCCATGGGATTTCATCAGATGCAATAAAACATGTTGCAAGAAGCTCAAGCCCTGAAAAAGCAATCAGCTTAAATAGAAGTCAGGGCTGATACCCCCTGCACCTCTTACAGTGGCTGTAACAGTGACCATGGAGCAGGGACACTGCTGTCCTGAGGAACAGGGACGCTGCTGTCCTGAGGAACAGGGACAGCACAGCAGCTACAGTTACTTAGGGGTTGGTGGAAGAAAAATGTTCAGGTGCTTTTCTGGGGCAGGAAGAGAGTGGTGGAGGCTGTGTGTGGATGGGAGAGTCTGTTGTTGGAGGTCAGTGGGGCTGTTGGGCTGCTCTTCTGCTCTGCATCACTATGTCAAGCCTACTCACAGGTATCTTTGCCATGGATATGGCCAGGAGTGTTGCCTGAGAAATCAGGGCAGCTTCTTTTTTGGGACTTCGCTACTTACTTACTTGGGGGCAGCATTGCATTGCCCAGTCCCGTTAAGGTGCTCCCTGTAGGGCTGAGCCCAGGATGCTCGTTGTGCTGAGAATTTCTTACTTCATCCCCTCACCTCCCACCTTTCGTCCTACTGGGACTCACTCGTGGCCTTAGCACCTGAGGCCTGCATGTTCCCCACTGAAAAACACCTGGATGAGGACTAAGAATGCCCCTTCTGGCCGATGTTCTGCCCGTCCTTCGACTCTTCCTGGGGGCAGCTTAGTGGGTCGAAGGCCAATGGCGAGAGGGTTGGAAGGAAGATTCAGGTAAAGGGAGAATTCTTTGCTGGGGATCCTGCCAGAGAGACACCAAAGCAAATAACTGGGTGCATCTACACGTGCCATGCTTTAGTAGTTCCTTTTGGAAGGAAGTACTAAAGAAAGTACTAAAGCATGGTGCAGTATGGGTGGTTACTGCACCGTGCGTGTGGCACACGGGTAAATTTCACTGCTACATTGCTGTAGCGGCACGCTATACCCAGGGAGCACACTTCTATGGCAACATAGCTGGTGATCACGTGTAGATGCACATGATCGCTACATTACCATAGTGTGTCATACAGCAATGTAGTGCATCGCTACGTCACCATAGGGCAACATGTAGATGTGCCCACTGTGAGCCAAAGAGCTGGGCCAGACCCTGCAACCAGAGAGACAGCTGCTCAGCCTCTCAGGCACTGATACACTCCAAGACTTTTGTGCATCTCAGCTGCCCCCTAGGAAGGGCATTGGCAGCATTCAGCAAATGCCTTGAACGTAACCTCTGCAAGGGAAGCATCAGAGAAGGCTCATTGAAGAGCCATGGGAATGACTGGAAACAGGCCTCAGAGGAGCACCAGCCATGTAGCTTATCCTGGAGGTGTTAAGGGGCAACTGGGGCATGCTCTGGAAGGAACAAGAATTTGGGAAGAGTTCTCCTTACTGAGGCTTGGTGAGATCTGGTGCCTGGAAGCTGCAGGTAGAAACATTTAAGCTGTACTGGTTTGTAACAACAGAGGTAGCATAGGCCCTGCCGGTGCCCCTCACTCCCACTCTACAGCCCCCCACTCTCGTCAGGTACCCCAGGGCCAGGGCCTGCAGCTCCTTGCCCCCCCACCCCAGCAGTGCCTGAGCCCTGGCCCAGCTTCTGCCCCCCCATCCCCATCCCTGACCCCCCAGTCCTGTCTCTTTCCCCACCAGCTGTACAGCCAGAGCAGAGCCCATGGTTGCTCGCTATGGGCTTGGGGCTCCCTGCCCTGCTGCCATTCCTCTGGGCCTCTGCAGCCCAGCAGGTGGGACCTGGCATAGGAGAGATCACCATGCCATGGCCACATCTGCTGATGTTGCCACCCCATTTGGGGTTGCAACCCACAGTTTGGGAACTGCTGTTCTAAGCTCTGCACTGAATGTGTTTCTAAATGACCTGCCTTGGTTCGAGTGCGGATTTGTTCCAGGCAGTGTTATGGCCTGCCCTGTGCTGGAGTCAGAAACAACAAGCCTCTTACAATATACAAGTCTCTAAATCTGTGCGGGGGGGTGCGTACATGTGTGCTACACATGTGTGTCACAGCACACATGCCACCACTGGTGCAGGCAGGCATGTGGAGGGATGGTGAAGGAGGTTACAGGGAGGCATTGGGGGGAGCATGTGCCTGGTTCACTGTCTGCACAGAGCCCGCTCATGATACCACACCTCTTTTAGCAGCGTCTAACCATGTGGTTCTTCGCAGGAGAGTCCAGCACCTTGGTGGCCCCGTATGTTCCAGGGGGTGTGAGCGATGGGCAGTGGCACACGGTGCAGCTCCTCTACTACAACAAGGTACGTGCCCCCTTTAAGTTACCTTGTTCAGCTGCAGGGCTGGCATTGGCAAGCTGCAGTCCTGGCACTGGGGCTTTCCCCAAAGCTGCATTTTGGGAGAGCCAGGCAGCACAGAGGAGCCAGAGGTTTTGTACAGGTGGCTAGCACTTCTCTGGGGGGCCCTTGGCCATCTGACAAGCTGAGTCTAGTTGACATGAGGCTGCTCTGATTCTCCTACCTAACACACCTGCCTTCTCTCCATCTGGGTCCCTCCGAGAGGCTCAGGCACAGGGAAGGCAATCCAAGGCAGATGTCTTGGGCGGAGCAGGAACATCCTGCCTAGCTTCCTGGGGTGCAGCTCATAGGCATCTTCCCTGTGTGTCTCTGAAGAGTGCAGTCCGTGCTGTGCCTGCCTGCACCCCTCAGCTTTGTGTGTTACTGACTCCCCAGGGGGTTGCTCCTCTCTTTGGCCACAGGGAATCCTTGTCCCTTTCCATCTCATTCCCTGTGCTGGGACAGGGTCCTTGCACTACACAGGGCACTGAGAAAGGATGCCAAAGTGATTGGCTGGCACTGGCAGCACTGTCATCTGTTCTAGTGGTCCATGGTGGGGAGGACTGAGTCATGGCCAGGTGGTGCAGCACTGTGCAGTCATTCCTTAACCTGAGAAGGGCTGGGGTGTGTGTGTGTGTGTGTGTGGGGGGGGGTCCCTGTGAGCACACGGGGGGAAATGGGCTTCCAGAAAGCCCTTCCTCATGTGTGAGTGGACATCCCACTCACCCTCAGAGCCATTGTGGGCACTGTGCCTGGGCTGCGTCACCTTAGCTGAGGGCTGATGCTGTGGCTCTTGGTTTCAGCCCAAGCTTGGCTCGCTGGGGGTGGTCCAGGGCCCCTCCAAGGACAAGGTGGCCATCTTGACGGTGGATGAGTGTGACACATCGGTAGCATTGCAGTTTGGCAGCGAGATTGGAAACTATTCCTGTGCGGCGGAGGGGGTGCAGACCAGCTCCAAGAAGTGAGTGTGCTGAGGACTGGCTCTTCTCCCTAGAGAGGAGAAGGGAGGGCAAGGGAGGGGCTGGGGGGTGACACTCAACTGAAGGGAGCTGTAAACTCACCAAGCTCCAGCTGGAAGGAGCCACTGAGAGCATAGAACATACCTGCTTGTGTGGGTGGTGCCAGGGATGGAGGTGCCAGGGACCCAGATGTGCCCTTCAGTGCTGGCTGCCTCAGTTTTGTCCGCATGCCACATACCTAGCTGGGAGGAAAGTGTAAAGGGGTAAAGGGGGCTGTGCTTTGTGTCCCTGTGATAGTGCTTGATGGCTGGCCCAGAACCCGAGCATGGCACTACTGCCGCCCCCCCACCTCACAGTGCACCTCTGCTGTCACACCCATCCCCAGCATACAGCAACCAGCTGGCTGATGCCCTGAGGGAGCCTGACCCACACAACGTGACCAAATTCTCCCTCCTCACAGACTCTCTCTTCTGGCAGGTCCCTGGACCTCACTGGGCCCCTGCTCCTTGGAGGGGTGCCCAATCTGCCCGAAAACTTCCCTGTGACACACAGAGATTTTGTGGGGTGCATGAGGGACCTGTACATCGACAGCAGACGTGTTGACCTGGCTTCCTACATTGCAAACAATGGAACCTCTACAGGTAGTGCGGGAGTGCAGCACTTTGGGTCTCAAGCAGGACCTCAGGGGACCGTGCACTTTCCCTCTCTCCAGGCAAAAGGGGCTGGCTTGGCAGCCCAGGGCAGGGCATCTGCTGTCTACAGGGTTGTGCTGCAACTAGTGATGATAATAGTAGCATGGGTAGCAGCAGTTCCTCCCCTGACCCCTTCCCTGCCCTGGATGTACCTTCTCTAGGCATGAAGGAGGAACTCGGTCTCTTTAGCTCCTGAGGCCTCTCCCAAGGCTGCCTGCCAGAGTGACAGTGCATGCCACTTGCATGGATGTCCTCTATGAGGTGGGTGAGGAGGTGATTTTCACCCTTGCTGGCTCCTCCAGGCCAAGGCTGGCCCCCTCAAAGGACTCATACATAAAAGGCTCTGTGTCTCACAAGAGCTCCTGGCCCACCCAACCAGTGCTTCCAGATGCCACACAGTATGGGCCCTTCTTCCCAGGCACCGAGGTGGGACATGCAAAACCAGCCTGTCCTCAGGGATCCTGGGGAGAGTCACGCCAGCCCTCTGCTGCCTTCCTGGCCTGGCAGATTAAGGGGAAACACCCTCAGCCCTTGTCACAGGACAGTGGGCAGGGCCTGCGCTTGTGGAGGGCTCTGGTCAGGCTGGTTGTTCTGAAAAGCTGGTGAGATTCCTCATCCCTCCACTTGCTCAGGGCCTGGGGCAATGCGTAGGGGGTGCACGCAGGTGCACGTGCAACCCCTGTGCATGGCAGTGCACCCCCTGCAAAAAGGCACCACCAACACTGTTGGTGGCGCCTGCGGGCAGTCGCTGCTCGCCACCCCGCTGGCGGCACCGTCTGCAGGTGGTCCCTGATTGCCCCTGGCTGCTGCCGATGCTGTCAGTGGCACCTGCGGGTGCTTGCTGACCTGTGGTCGGTGCTTGCCACCCCTCCCCCCTGCCGCCGACAGTGCTGGCGGCATCTGTGGGAGCTCCCCGCTCGCCACTGGGCTCCCGCTGCCACCAGTGGAGCCATGCCCCTGCAGCCG